CAATAAAATACATTATTCAAACTAAATAATTATTTTTAACAAAAAAATTGAGAAAGTTTAGAAACTTTGCAAATAAAGAAAATCCACTAACCCTGAGGTCCTAATCCAACACAGAGAAGAGTTCAGAAATAAATCCTTTTTCTATCATTCTGAACTGGAAAAGAGGAGGATAACTAACCCCAGGGAAATAATCTCCCCAAACTGACACCTATTGATATTCTTCGCTCTCAGGCAGAGACTAGAAAGCTAATGAATTCTGTACCATTGCCACTGAACTTCATAAATCAAGTCTTGCAAATTTGCATTAATCCCCTTTATATCTGTGGGTATCTGCATCTGTGGATGTGGCACATTTATACAGATGTAGATACCAATTTTGTATCCGCACAGGGCTCTATTAAACCATTAGGGTATAGGTACACTGCACACTTTAGAATACATATGCTACATGCCTTCTCTTCTCCTCAGCACATATATAAAGAACAGCATAGATAAGGCACTGCCTACACAAGTGAAGACTTGCATGAACACTGTGGGTGTGAACTTTATCAGTCTTTCAACATACGCAAGCAGTTCCCTCCTCTTCTGCACTGCTATTTTTAGCATGATAGTGTTCCATTGCCTCTCCCATGACAGAGCCTTCTACTGATGCATGCAGCTACACATCAGAGTGTGAATGCAGTGTGTAGCAATACATATTCAACATGCTGCTGACAGAGGCATGACTGTAGACATACCCTTTAGAAAATAAGTTAGTTTTCAGGCTACTTCCTTCCCGGATAGTCTACCCAACATGGTGATTATTTGATGCTTTAAAAGGAGGACAAAAAAGGGCACTAATTTGACTCCAGAGTAGTTTAACTAAATAACCCTACATTAATCAATAAGCATTTCTATCTAAATTAATCCTGATCTAAGCACACTAGAGGCTGGCACGGTGCTGACAATTCAAGAAACCAGATACATGAATGTGTTTTGACCATCAAATTTTCTTGCAGCAAACAACAATTACAAGTAATCTCAGGTACAACCCCATCATCTGCGTGTTTGACTTTTTTGGTGCTAAAGTCACATTTTCCTATTTTATTTATTTCTCTTCTGTGGTGATGTTATGATGTGGGAAAAAAACTCTGCAAACAGGCAGGAAAACTGCCCGTTTATACAGTACTGGGGGGGGGGGGGGGGGGGGG